ACTGAGGAAGAGAAAAAGTCCATGGTCAGGTTAGACACTGACTGGGATTCCCATATATGAGCCAGATATGCATTCTGTCTATCAGGCCTTATGGAAATTCAGAATGAGTATATATGTATCTAACTGGCAGAAATAACACACAATGAAACTCTTCAAAACAGGATGGAAGTACACATCTGGGCAACATGACATGATGACTAGGCACTTATTAAGAATCAGAATTGACACAGCAAAAATTGAACCTGTCTTTGCATAACCTCATTTTCTTATTCAGTACACTAATTTTATACACACACATTCTTGTCTACAAGAAATATCTTTCATACTGTAGAGAGTAACCGATCAATCCAAACATGTCATTTCAGGAAACCTACTTTGCATTGTGGAATAGCTTCCATATTTAAATGAAGTGACCTTCTTGGAAATATATAACTTCAAGATATTATCACTTTTTAAAGTAAATGAACGTAGTCTCAGTCAAAATGTGTGCAGAACAGTGCTACCTATTTTTACATAATCAGAAATTAGTGTAAATATTGTTAAAAAATCTACAGTAAACTCCCTGTTACCTGATATCCAAGCATCTAGAATTCTCATCCAATGGGCAGAAATTTCAAAAGAGTATTTAGCACTTTTATGAAGTTATTCAGAAACAAATTTTCAGTGTTCATCTCTCACATGGTAGTTCTCCCAGTCACCATTAGCAGTGCTACCCATTGCCCTCCCTCACACAGATACCATTCAGTAGTGGCTAGTTGAATTTTATGATCGCATGACAGTATATTTGTCTGAAGTCTTCCCCCCCCCTTAATTTATCATATTGCATAGGAAGATTTCGAAGCAAGAACAGAAGTGAAATGATGTTGTACTCTGGGTAGCTGTAAGAGTTTTTCTCATGTAGCTGGCACACCTTATTTCCAATGCATGCCGGTTAATGGGGAGTTTATTCTTTTTGGTTTTATGTGTCTTAAGTCAGGATCAGGCAAGGACAAACTAATGTTTTGGCTTTGTTATGGTCCTTAAAATGCCTGTGACAAGAGTGACCAGATTTTGAAAGTTAAAAAGGAAAAATAACAAGGATGTAAAGAACACTCACAAGCAGACACAAAATAAAGGTAATTGAACACCCAGATTGGGCCTTTTCTGATTCATGTACCACATCTTATTTTACTATACCATTTTGTAATAAAACATATTAAATGTAACTACTTGCCAGATCTGTAAATTAATTTTAAAACTTTTCAATGATGAAACATTTTAAATGTGAACTGTGAAAGAATACTTATATTTTGAAAGGAAATAGAATCAGTTCAGAGGAAGGTTTTATTCCTTTCAAAATAGCAAAACTAGTCTATACTGCTTAGAAAATCTGTGGCTTATTTATATACTCTGTTACAAGCCTTTGGTAGCTGTGCTGCTATGTTTTGTGCCCAGTATTGAGTTCAGAGCTATTTACATGGCTATCGAAAACCAGCTGATGAGTTTATGAAGGTGTTTCACAAACATGTTCCACTTATTTTTAGATGTCTGTGACAAGACCATTCATAAAAATACCATGATCTCATGAACTTCTGTCTATATAGTAAAGTGTAATAAAGGTAAATGTCCTCTGACACTCTTTAATGTAGTAACAAATATCATATTGGAACACATCACACACAAATCACTTATTGAAACCCTGTGTGTTAGTCTTAGAGTATGTGGACTCCAGTGTCTGCTAGTCTGTGAATTTATGTTGTTGTGTAAGGAAAGATTAGATGATTGATTTTACCATCATACATGAATTGAATGATTCAGTTACAAAACCCCACTCTGTTAAGGGTATCAGATGGTAGCAATTCAGTTGCTGCTGTTGTCATAAATGGTTTCAGTTTCAGAAGTTTTGTGGCATTTGATGCAGACAGTTGTCAAACCCAGGTCCCTTGTGCTAGGTGTCTGAGGAATTTCCAAGAAGAATCTTCAGACATAGCATCTATTTCATCTAATTCCTCTTTAGTGAACATTTGACCTTTGGTCTGCTTTTCCCCTCCACTTACAATATTGTCGATCTTAATTTGTTTACAGTCTGTGACTAGTTCTTATGTGTAGAACTATAACTACCTCAAATTTATGACAGAATCTTCTCCTTTCTCTTTTACAGACCCACATTTCGCATAGCTGTCATGCATGAAGAGTCATGCCAGTGTGTATCTAATACATGGTGTTTCATCAGAGAGAAATATTATTGCACAGGGCAAGTACAGGACAGTATTGGGGAGTTAAAGCAACCTAGAGCCCAAGATATATGAGTCAACCAGCGAATAATGCATAAATTTGCTCCTTGGTAACTTTAACCAATTTGCTGGGGGCATTGAAAAATGTCCTTGTGTCTTAAAATCATCCATGATCGCTTCGTTTGTCTTCCTTCTTATTTCATCATTCATAGTTATATCGTTTCTCATTTGGCACTTTGTAATCTCAACAGCTGATAAAATAACAAAATTACTAAATCATCTCCAAGCAGTAAAATATGGGTTGGAGTTTAGAAACAAACAAGGAGGATCGATGAAGATGATTTTGAAATTAAGTGAAATGGATGAATCCCTATTAAAAATACTAGGCCAAAGTGAATCACACACTTCTCTGTAGTTGTTGGACTACTTGTAGCTTGTGGTAAGAATGCTGTGTGTGCGCATGAGCAGAGTTCACCACAAGCAGGCCACCAGTGTCATGTAGTGCTGTGCTTGTTTTAAATATGATTGTGAAATGTGTATTGGAGTTAAATATTGTAGCTTATTTTATTAAATATGTATACACTGCAACTGTAATCAGTTACTAATAACACTTATTCAATATAAACAATTTGAAAAGGAACAAATCAGGTAAAATCAGTACTGACAGTTTTTGTTACATGACAGATACATGGGAGTGTGTTCCCTGCAATTATATATAATGTAGTTTTGTACCAGTTCAACATTTGAGGTGCATATAACAAGTTGTGAAATATTTATAGTTGTACTTTTTTGCTCATCCTTCACTTACCTCCCAACATATGTTTTTCTTTTTCCAACATCTGAGCTATCTTAAGCAATATAACATCACATTCCATCTAGAGTTAACCTTTTGTTGCAGGGTCTTCTTTATGTGCTCAACTGTTATTCACTGGTTACGATATGTTATATTATTATGGGACGCAAAAGTTCATTGCTGGGATCACAAAAGACCACTGTAAATGCTATCCTGAATCACTTCATTCCAGTTAATATCTGTTGAACTTATTTTTCTAACACCCTTTCTAATATTATCCTTCTATCTGTGCTTTGCCCTCCTAACTTATATCTTGTTTTAATTGTTCCAACCAAAATATTGTATGCATTTCTTCTGTACCTTAAATATAAATGTCCTACTCACCNTAAGTAAACAAAAAATGAAAAAATATGATATGGAGAAGTTCATTCTCAAGAAGCTAAACAAGGTAGAGAGTAAAGAACAATATCAGTCAAAATCCCAAATAGGTTCACAACCTTGATGATGTGGATATTAATACACCTTGGAAAACTATTGAATATAAACATTTCAGTCAAAGAGTGTTTAGGTTATTATGAACTGAAGCAGCATAAGCCGTGGATCTACAAGGGATGTTCAAAACTGTTAGATCAGAGGAAACTAGCCAGATTTAGTGGTTAGAGGATCCAAGCTAAATGAATGAGGATAATCTGAATAATGTAAGATGTGAAGAGAGCAGGTATTTCAGGAAGGGAAAAAACAGGGAATATCTAAAAAAAAGAAACTCTTTGGCTTTAGTTCGCAAAGGAACTATACTGACCAAGCAACCACCACTTGTCGGCGAAGTTAGTGTCAACTTTAGCAGATAGAGGGTGTCATGTGGTCAGCACAATGAATACAGGGAATAATATCTGAAAGACCAAATTAATGAGCTTCCAACACACAGTAAGAACAAGAACAGTAGAGACTTCTGTAGGGGAGTAAATGAATTTAAGAAGGGTTACCAACCTAGAACTAAGTTGGTAATGGATTAGAATGGTGATCTGCTTGCAGATTCCCACAACTTTTTGAATGGATGGAAGAATTATTTCTCTCAGCTATTGAATGTGGTTTGGGTCCCTAATGTTAGAAAGATAGAAATACATGCAGCTGATCCAGTAATACCAGAGCCTAGTCCTTCTGTGGTTAAAATTGCTATTGCCAAGTTGAAAAGTATAAATCACCAGGAGTTGATCAAATCCTGGCAGAACAGATTCAAGCAGGAGGTGAAACATTATGTTCTGGGATCCACAAACTCATTAATTATGTTTGGAATAACGAATAATTGTCTGAGTTTTAAAAATTTTATCCAATACCCATCTCTCAAAGTTAGTTCCAAATGCAGACAAGATTATTGGGGAAATTCAGTGGGTGAATACATGTGTATCACAATTTTCTTTTGGAAGTAATTTTATGAAAATGATAAATTTCTTTCTGAAATTTTTGTCAGTTGTATCAGAATTCTGAATCCTTGGATACTGGATAATAAATGGTTCACTGTACCCACCCTTTTTTAAAGTTCTTATATCTGCTTACAGAGGCCAGCCAAACTTGTATACTGATAGTTATAATCCAATCATGTAATCATAAAATTTCAGATTGTGTGAGCTTCCACTGTATGCAGGTCATCATTGTTATTATCATTCATAAGTTCATGAAATGTGTCACATTTAGAGCTTATTAATACTTACTAATTTTAATAATAGTATTTTATTCTGAATTTTGGTCACAGAAGATGAACATGTACTACAGCTCTTCTACAATTATTTCTGGCCCTAGATCTCCACTGTTTTCTGAAAGAATTTCTTTGTTCTTCTTGTTTTTTGTATCTTACTTCTTCAGCATACATAAACAATAATGAACTTATCTCTGTATATTCTAGTCCCTCCAAATTCTTACAGACATTTTAGTAGCATATCTAAAACTGCACTTGATTTTGAATTTATTAATAAAAAAGAAGAATTTGTAATGCTTACTAATTTGTTAGACAAGTGTCAAATATGAAAAGTAATTCACATACTCATACATACAACTTTCTTATATAAAGAAACTTGGCACTGCAAGTAATCAGTCTGGTTTAAATGCCTGCCTGTTGCTGAAGAAACGACCATTGTACACAAGGAAATGTCACATTGTACATAGAATATTGTGCGTAGAACATGTGCGTATCAGCTGCAGTAGTGCTCTTTCCAAACAATGTGACGCTTCATTTTCCTGTGCTTTCTCTTTCTCCTGGCTCCCATCTGCCATATAAGAAAGAGATAAAAGTAAATAAAGTTTTTTGCCTCACATGGCTAGATGCCAGTAGTGCTACTACATATGAAAAATATATGAGGCTCTTCAGACAACAACACTTGAGTCTTATGACAAATATATGCAATGGTGCTTATAATATTTCATGCCGCAATGCAGCAGTGATGTTAATATTAGGTACCCAAATATTAGTGCCTTTTGCCTACATGCATGACCATATTTAAGGAGTGCTATATGTGGGTTCAAATGCTCCCTAAAATGTCTCAGATAATACGACAAAAAGTTTCTTAATTTATAGCGAAGTGGCCAACACTTATGTCAGCTATATAGCTGATCTGTGATTCTGTGTGATAAACTGTAGCTTTTACTATTTTTATTTTCGAAACCCTCCTTTCACTTCCTCCTCTGTTCCTAAGAAATAAATCCTGAATACATTACTGTCTTCATGAAAGATAGTTGGTTGTTGTTATTAGTACAACTACTATCACCACCACCACCACTATATTATTACAGGTACTGGCAGTGGTTGTGATGTTGCTACCACGGCTGTTGCTGCTACTATTTGTGGCAGCAGTGGTGGTGTGTAACTGTGATCCTTAAAGTTACGAAGAAGTGTTACAAGAATTATGTCATTGTAAAGTGTTAGTGTTGTGCCTTGCATTAAATCATTAGTGATGTGTGAAAAAAATGTTACTGAATGCTTTTCTTAGAGAATTGCTGTATCTCAGTGAACCAGTGTTGTTAGTGTTGTGTATCTGTTGGTTTTATGTAAGTGGGAGGCAGTGTTATTAAAATAACATATTGTCACATGTTAGTGTTTATACATGGGGTTTAGGTTGATAATTGATATTATCAAAAGCTTATATATCTTGTAACTACAAATAATTGTAACACTGTCATTAATCAGCACACTCTACAAATCGCTACCGCAAACTCAAAATCTTCAGTCTCCTGTGTCTTCATTAGCCGTTGCTTGGCAGCGGCCTCTCACAATGCAACACAGTACTCTAGACGTATAACCGTTGACTCTTACCACGGACTCCTGATTGTCCAGTGTCCATGCTATATAGCTCTGACTTGGACTGCATAGAAAACATCACCTTCATGGTTCCTATATTCTTGCATGTTTATTTGTTGCCACAACACTTGTTTATCATACTGTTGCATTTCAAAAGCTGCCTCTTTTTGTTCCACTGTTCTAGCTTTCAGCCATCATGTCATAATACATTTGAAACAACAACGTTAGTGTTAAACAGATTTGCTTCTTACAGGCAGCCCCCAATGCTCTGGAAAAAATGAGGCAAGTTATTAGTGCAGTGTAGATCTACATGAGTATATATTTTATGCAATTTAAATAATTCTTTTATCATTGCTTTGTATTTGTAACATTTTTGATTATCTACAATGTCCCTAATTTATAATCTTTTCCAGGACACTGGCCATCCTGACATGGAATTTTTGATCATAGCCTTTCAAAATACATCTAAGTTACCTTAAATAGACTATATGACACTTTCCTACACACATTTACATTTACATTTATTTTTCACTTCATGGATCCAATCATCTCCCCGTCGGGCTGGATATAAAACATGTCACATAGTACAAATTCATGATGACTACACATCATTCGTCCTTGGTCCAATAAAATATATAATCAGGCCTCACACAGATAGCTCAAGTTGTCAGGAAACACACATAGGTCGTGAAAAAACCACTGTCAAATTCACACCTTGCCATTCCACACACACTGGCAAGCCATATCATCCAAACAGTTACAATATAAAATATTAAAATTCATAACGAAAACAGACATCATACATACTACTACACTTACAACAAGCAAGTCTCAACAATGTATAATTCATGCACACAGACCATTTATTAGTTCTTAACTTTTGAGCTCCTTGCATGCTCTACAAATTCATCAATAGAGTAAAATGCATTACTTTGCAAATAATTTCATAAAACAAACCTAAATTGCTTTTTATCATTTTTTAAAACTGGTATTTGATGGCAGAGTGTTAAATAGCTTGATGCCTGAATAATACACCCCTCTCTGATAGGATGATAAATGTGTTGAAGGTAAATGAAGGTGATCATTCCTTCTGGTACCAATCACATATACAGAGCTATTGGTTTGAAACTTATCCACATTATTAACAACAAGAGTCATAAATGAGAGCAAATATACACATGGGATTGTTAGTATGTCAAACTTTTTAAATAAATCTCTACATATAAGAGTTGGGCCCACTTCCATCATTATTATTATTATTTTCTTTTGTATAACAAAGACCTTATAACTGTCTGATGTATTTCATCAATGAATGATAATATGCATAATATACAGCTTTAAGACTATTTATATTTAATATATAGGATAATTTTTGCATTAGAAAACCAACTGTGCTCAACTTGTGAAGCAAAAATAATGCATGCCATTCATATAGTATTAAATATGAGTAAATCTAAAATCATATTAAGTTCAGAAGATTATTTGTAAACTGAACAAACACAAATATTTTTAATATCCTCTTCTTCAGTTTAATTGTGAACCAGGTTTTATTTGTTTTTTTATTAATTTCCAATCCTTTAATTTTATTGTTTTTGAACCACTTATTAGAGTTGTTACTGTTATCTTATACTGGAATACCCAGTCCCCAATTAACAAACAATAGATATGTTCTTGAAAATTTTGTTAATTGCTCATGATTTTCTGATAAACAATAATGCAATGTAATTTAGAAGCTGTGGGAAAATGATGTTAAACTGAAAAACCAGTCACTTCAGTTTAAAACCAGACCTACTTTAAAATCCGTGTTAAACCAAATTTATGTTGGTAGTACGCTTGTTGATCAAGGACTTGGTGTATCTGGTTGTTAACCACCTCATTTATTGTTCTTTTATTTATTTATAACAGCATCCAGAGATAGGGACTAGCTTATCAATTACACCAAACCGAGTAGGTTCCACTTGAAGTCGGAGATAGAATCCAGTCTCCAAAACGTTGTGTGTCTTAAATAAAAGCAGAATGATAATAATATCCAGAAATGCAATAACTGTAGCATCTTTACTGATTTTTTAAAACAAGTTCCCTCTTTATATTGTTCTGTGTATTGTATATTCATACAATCTGATACAGAATGTCAATTTTGTACTATGATTCACAGCCAGAATGTTATTTCTTTAATTTCAGGGTCTTTGAGAAATGTGGTTGGGGGGGGGGTGGATTTCAAGCATAAATAATCTTTCGTACTTATAATGTTGTAGTGACTTCTTTGTGCCACTAAAAACCATGAGTAGCCGATGTTACAGAGCCAGATAGTACCTAGTGGTGTGCTAAATATAAATTCTGTGTGGGAGAAATTCTGTTGCCATGAGGCCTGTGCGAAAACTCCACCAGCAATCACATGCTTGTGTTTGTAAACTGTGCCAACAATACAACACAGTCTCCATCAGTGAACTAAGGTATATTTTTGAGAGAATTTCTTGGAAGAAAGATACCTTTAGTATGTCTCAAATATTGACTCCTCTCCACCATCTTCACATTGGAAATGAAATTTAAACTAGTCTTCAATAAGATTCCATTCAGCTTTCTTTAATGATTTTAAAAATCTTGAGGAGTTATATCAAATCCAATTTATGGGTACTCTGTTTTAGTACTTGTATTATTCATGTTATGATGTAGTCCATTCATGTTGTTTATGTCAGTAAAATTACCATTTCCTTATTATTAAGATCAGAAGTTTCAACAGTGCTAACACAAAAGCCTGTTACTGGATTCTAGCCTAAGTCATTTTAATCCAGTCCTCCTCACAATAGCCCATTTCTTTTCAATTAAATTAAACTGAATTCAATTTTGTTCATCCCTTTTGGTCAAACAACTGGCATAGGATACATCTTATTTACACACATACACATCTAAAAGTAACATAAATATATCATCTAAGTTCTTTCATGCTGTAAGGTAATACAGATACAGTTAATATTGAGTTTCATTTTATATTTTTGATTCTTCTGAGTATCCATACTCAGTGAGAACTCCCCAAAAAATATTTGGTACACAGATTAGTTTACAATTTTAAATAAAATAAAAATAAAGGTTCAAGAAAAATATTTGAGAAATTGAGTTTTTGAATTGGAGATAAGAAACAACAAAAATTAAAACTAAATGTTGTAAAAATAAATTATTTTTAAATAAATCTCCAGTCTTCTTTATACTTTATATATCTACGTCTTGCCATATTTCCAATATGTATATTTTTTATTGTATATTTACCCCAATGCTGTCACTAATTCACAGCATAGTGCTCATATTTTAATTTGGACATTGACCAGTCACCATCTTGTGATGTTTATCCTCTCTTCTCTGCTGCAAGAGACTGCGTGCTATTCTGTTTGACTTAGCTCCCCCCCCCCATAAAACCAAGACAGAATTTCTCATTAATATTTGAAAATGTATACTAGATGTTTCCACATACTGTCCTTATTTTCTGCAGGCTTCCTTTCTTCAAGTAAATTCTGTTCCCATTATCTCTAATTTCTAGAACTCAAAAATGCTTGTTCTCTGTAGGTAATCAAGGAACAACAACCTGTAATCATTTAAAATATACTAGCGTTACTGAAAATCTGTCATTCCAGTTTGAACCATATGGAGTTTCTGAATATGTTTGTTGTGATCTTACATCCCTCATTGTCTTTTGATACATTTTCTGCAAATGAAAATGAACATCTGACAAACCAAATCTGTCATAGGTATACAATACTGGATAAAAACTCAAATCCCTTTTCTCTTGTATTTCTTTTTTGTTACTTTGAAAAGTTTTTAAAATGAAAGTTATGTATTAAAGAGATGAAATCTTAATGTTTTATTGTGCTATAATTTTAATGTCAAGTAGTTTTTGAGAAATACAGGAAACTTTGTTTTCATGTGGGCCTAATATGGATCATACTGAAGGATTGCTCAATATGAGATATCAAAATTTCTTTAGTTACTGGATGAACATTAACAGTCTCCTCATTATATGTTCATTTATGGTTCTCGTTCAAACAATATGTAGAAAGTACAGGTGTGAGTTGTAGATGTGTTTCTTTCTTTAGCCAGATCCATTTTCTATAAAATTAGTAGAAGTGTGTTTATAATGAATTCTGAATTTAAGGGAGGGATGGAAATTATTGTCCTGTTTTAAGACCCCTTTCCCAGCATTTGCAGCTATAAAAGCAGAGAAAACACATATACTGCCCCATAAGGTTATTCGCAGTTGGATGGAATGGGAATTTAATGGTTTCAATTTGGTATTAATCCTTTGGGTAGTCTTATGGCAGTATGTATATAGGTTTTCTGAGAACATCGACCTATACTTATTACAGATTTAGTTCTTTTGGGGATGTATGAAGTCATGAAAGGGGATCTGTATGAATGTTTAATCTCCCACATTACAAATAATAAAAATCACCTCCATCTAATGGACTTTACAGAGCAGGTGTGTCTTCCTCTAACATGAAGCTGGAAACACAGCCAATCTATGAAATAAACAACAGTCCAAGAAAATATCTCGATGAAGTGAATTAAATTTTAATATTGACTTGCCATGCCAAATATTGCCAAAATCCATCAAGTGGTTTTGGAGTTCTAACAAGCAGACTGAGGAAGAGAATGGCATGAGCGTTTCAAGTGTTCTTCATGTTACACATTGCAGGGGCAGAGGTGTTTCTGTTACCACCATGTCACAATGAACCTAAGACTCATCCAGCATCCTACCCAATGAGTAAGAGGGACTGTAAACCTGGGGTTGAAATTGGTCAGGACATCCATGAGTGTTGCTGCTTTTAGTTTTACTCCCTTTTACTCTGTGTGCCTTCGTGACATGATGCTTAAGCACATGGACAACTATATCATTTATACAGAAAGCTAAAAATACTAAGGTCAATGTCTATGGAAATAGAAGCTAAACTCTGGTCATCTGGATGGAGTAATTATCCTGATGCGGACATGAACCCAGTATTTTTTCATAGATGTCAGGAAATGCTGACAGTGCTGTTGAATTTAGTGCATTCACCACAGACAGAACCCAAGCAGCATTAAGAGTGAGAGGGCAATATGACAGATTGGTGGGGAGGTAAGGAACCTGCGTCTTGGGCTTACATCAGCTATAAATATATTGCTTTGTGCGTAGCAGCCAGTCAGAAAAGTGTGGCAGTTGTGGATACAGTGACCAGGTGTTTTCTCCTGTTTTATCTACATTGTAAGTCTATAACGATTTATGATACAGTACCCATTGCAGAAGGAAATTATCAGACCCATAATTGTCTTCTTTAATAAGGATATAATTTTAACTAAACATTTATTATTACTCTTATTATTACCTAATTTGCCTCAGATCCATCCACAAACTTTAAAATTAGTTCTATTCATCATGTCGAATTATCATGTTTTTTATATTTCTAATTGAAATGGTAGTGTTGGACAGTACATCATATGAAAGGAAATTGTACATAGTTTTATAAAAATAATTTTAGAATTCTTCATTTCTACTTCATTAGTAAGATTGGGCTTACATATGGTATAAATAATTTTTCTTCTAAAAGTAAATAATTTTCTATATACATTGGAAACAACAGCAAAACATAGTTACTTTATTCACTGATTTGCAGCACAGCACTTTATATGTTGCGTTGTTATGAACTGAGTACTTATGCAACAGTGTCAAAAACGATTATGATGCATTATATGAGATATGTTATGTTCCATTGTTTACGGAAATATTAGAGCCACAATATTTTTGTACTGTTAGGTATGGCTACACTTGGCACTGACCAGATCTTTCTTACATTATTTGATAATCCTCATTACTACTTTGCCATCCAAATATTATATAAATGCCTAAGACGTGCCATTCTGTCTTTCTTCTGTCCTTATTTAGAAGTAACTGTTGTTAGTAGGATATAACTGCCAGGCAGCAATGAGAGGTACTTATGCTTCAGTGATCATTGCATTCTTGATCTTCATTGAAAACCAATTTGCATTGTTCATAGCATGCATTTTCATTGTTATCATGAGTTAATGTACAAGAGTGTATCAATGGAAGTTTATCAGTGAAAACTCTGGCTAGAAATGGGAAAGGTTTATTTAAAAAGTTTTGCCCATTTATTGCATTTGAGGTCATACAGATTAATGAAAGGAAAAATTCCAAAATATGTATGGGGAAAAAAATTTAGTATTTTTGGTAGTGCAAAAATAACACATACGTATTAGTGAAATTTATGAAGTGCCTGTCAGTGTTATTTTCTATCTGAGGGCCAAGCCACAAACCATTGACTGTTATATGTGGTCAAGTTGTGACTGAAAGAAATGAATCTCTTTTGTTTAGTGGTGAATTTCACAATGGACATTATGATACTTGGTTGCCAGTTGAAGAAAAAGTGTTTCATTATTTTAGTCTAAGTTTGTTTTTAAGATAGCCTTTGCTGCAACATTTTCTCTGGATAACAGCACCACTTAGTGCACATTGCTATTCTATCAAGTTTAATATTTTACTGCAAATGTAGCCATCTAAAAAAATTAAATTACTGAACGTACATATTTTTGATTAAGTTTGTTTTTGACAGTTTCCCACTGAAATGTTAACAGTCTTTGTACTTGTCAAAGTCTAGAGGTATGGAATCAGGAGTTCACATTTTATAGGTATGGTTAGTTTCCTGCTTTGGTATTACGCTCTTCACAAATGGTAGGATTTGTTTCATCCAGATAATTTTGTTAGGTAAATCATCCTTTATTAATTTTAGGGCCTGTCAAAAACACAGCAGTTGAGCACTAACTTCTGGGTTGCAACGCTATGTACTCTGGTACAAATTTACCAACATTTCAGATGACCATGCTTCTTCAGTGTCAAAGGGTAAATCAATCAACTCAGATGATAGTGCTTTTCATAGTCACTGGGAGCCTCAAACCCAACAACAAAGCACTGTCCATTTTTCTATAAAGTAATTGATATCTTTGCTTTGTAACAGCACTATTTCAGCTGCAGATTTAAACACAGATATGATAAAATCTTGACCTTCCTACTTTGCATTTATTTTAAGTACTTCATATAAAGAATGCATAAAGACTGCAAAGAATTTCTTTGTCTGCTATAATGCAAGAAACCAAAATTGTTTTACTCTCATGCAACTGTAGGCAAAATCAAGATATTTCCATTTAATTCTGACTGGAGTGCACAATATGTAGCTGTGACATTTCACAGTACAACCTTTATTTCCTGATCTTGGCAGTTTGCCAGCATCAGCTGGCACCTTAACATGTGCTTGCACTTGGCCACACAGCAACATTTATTGCGCATCCAGCAGCTGGCGTCTTCTTTGTCTTCCAAGAAGTAAATAGTGGGAGCCAAATTGATGCCACCACATGTGGTCTCTAACCATGCAGGTCTCTTCGTTGATGTCAAATACCTTCACTGTAATCAGAAACTTTACTTTCATATAATATGGTTGGGCAAAATAATGGAAACACTACAGATACTGTACACATTTCATTATTAATATGGTGTTGGACAAACTTTATTATTATTATTATTATTATTATTTATTTCATCCATAGCTGTAGAGAATTACAATTGGACATGTCAAATATCAACAAGCTCACATCAAAAATAACATAACATTCACACAGTGAATTGCATTCAATACAGTAGCAGTCCTTTTTGGAATGGACTCATTCAAGTTCTGAACAGTCTGTAGCAGAATTTTATACCATTCTTCTTGAAGAACGTCTTCAAATTGCTTTAGAGATGTTGGAGGTGGGAATCTGTTCCTCACTCTCATCTCCAAAACTGACCAGAATGATTTTCAAATGCAGTGATTGTACTGGTCAGAGATGTTGAAGTTCACCTTCATACTCTTCAAACCATGAAAACAGTTCCAGCTGTGTGAGTGGAGGCATTGTCATCTGGGAAAACTCCATCATTGTTTGGATATTACATCTGGATGATGGGATGCACCTGATTACCCAACTTGTCCACGTACTCCCTTGAAGTGATTCGGCCATGAAGGGTAATAATAAGACCAACAGAATATCACAATATTGCTACCCAAACCATCACAGAACCTCCCCTGGTACCAGACATTCCAGACTGCAGGCTTCCTTGGGTGTGCTCCAAACATAAACTGTTCCTGATGTAGGGAACAGCATGAAGGATGACTCATATGACCATATCACTCATGCTTTTCCAGTTGTCTGAGGTCCATGTTTAATGGTCGTGACACCATCATTTATGCATCTGAGAATTACTTCCATTAATCAGAGGTTTAGCAATTGCAGCCCTACCATGGATGTTTAATTTGTGAAGATCACTTCAGGAAGTTTTTGTGGAAACAGGATCATCAGGATGAATATTCAATTCTGCTGTCATGTGTGCTGCAGTATTTCTCTGACTTTTCAAATCTTCCTGATATGATATACCACATCCATTGAGGCCGCACCATAGCTCAAGCGGTTAGTCACTAGCTTCTCACCACGGCGGCCTAGGTTCGATCCCGTGTCTGGTGAAGTGGGATTTGTGGTGGACAAAGTGGCACTGGGGCAGGTTTTCTCCGAGTACTTCGGTTTCCCCTGCCAATCTTCATTCCACCAATTGCTCCACCCTCACCTATCATCTGGGGCTGGTACAATAGGCCAGAAGTGGCCGCAGTACAAGGGACTTAGTCCCACCCCACTAGCAATTAAAAAATTTACCAAATCCCATAATTGTTTTAATATTCTAAAGAGATATGTGATGTTTTATACATTTGCATTAATGAGTGAGTGAATGAGTGAGTTACTGGTACAAAATTGCTGATATATTTCTGAACATGCACACAAATGTGTGAAATAGATGCATACAGTTCTCTGTCAAGAAGATGCTGAGCATGTTTTACAATAACAAATCTATTAATGCTGTAAGAATATTTTATTTTGACAATCTAATGTGGCTATGGATCTATGAGGTATACAGAATACACAAAAGCATAGTAATACAGGTTCTTGATTCAGCAGTTGATACTGTTATGTGTAGGGGGGTATATGTGACTTATAGATGGGTTTTGGATTGGTTGTGTGTTAAGAGTGACTGTAGATGGGTTTGGATTGGTAATCGGATCTGTTGACCACTTACAAACGGTAACTGCAAATAATTACGGTGCCATCACTAATCTCCGCACTTTACAAATCACTACAGCACAAGTAAGCTTTCTCAGTCTGTTACAGTCTCCACTAGCATATTCCTGGTAACGGCTTCTAACACTGGAGATTCTTCAGCTTCTGTGCTCACATCGTTACTGTCCAGTGAATATTCCAGAACTTAATTTTTGCTCCAAACTGTCCTGGTAACATCTTGGAATGGACTGCTCCTAAAACACGCCGTTTCCAACAGTAACTCTATTATTGCATGCACATTCGTTGCTGCATGAATGTGTTTACTGAGCCGTTGTCCAGAAACGGTCAGACTCGCCTCTTAGCAACGGGTCTATACACCACATCACTCCCTCCTTCAGGCTATTCATCCCAAATGGCCTACAAGTGTACTGTCATTTCTTCTCTTCTGAAGGCTGTGCTAGTAACATCTGTGATCGGTCTCACCCTCCTCCTCCTCACAGGGTTTACTCTCCAACTGCTCGCACTGCTCCCTCCTCCCAAATCCATGGTTTTCTCTTTCCTGGACAGGCCTTCATTTTCTCTAGCTGGGAGTCAATTCTGGCCTCATTCTTTCGTGATGGACATAAAACTTGGCGAGCATTTCCTCTTTTAGGGGCTCTTGGCCGGCCCTTAATTCCTTTATGGTGGCCTCTGTTTTTGCTTTCTCCAATCCATCCCACTTCTGACACAAGTTGTCCCATGTGTGAGTGACTATTGGTTTTTTATATTATTAGTCATTTGATGTGATGTTTAATCTCATATATTTTTTTATAAAACTGACTTGTCCAATTGTACATAATGTAACAGTTATGGATGTTAAATAAATCAATCAATCAATCAATCAACTATAGACAGGTTTTGGGTTGGTGAATGGATTTATTTACTGCTTATACACATGACTCATAAATACGAGCAATTATAGCACTGCTGATCTATACAATTCACACATCACTACAACATGCTAAGTCTCAGTCTTTTATAGTCTTCCCTAGTCATTGCTTAGCAACAGCTCTCAATAGTGGAGATTCTTCAGGTTCTTTGCTCATGCCATTGCCAGCTGGCTGATAATACTCTCAACTGAACTAACTTTGTCACTTGCTTATAACATCTGGGCAAGGACCACACATAAAACACTCCGTTTTCAAAAGTGACTCTATTGTTCCACATGCATTTATTCGGGAATATGTTTACCGAGCCGTTGCAAAAAACGGTAGTTATTTACAGAGTCATTGCTTAGCAATGGGTCTATGCACCACAGTATTTAGAATAAGATTATTTCAATGTTCAGTTTGTGATTTTCAGACATTTTTGTTTTTATAGGTAATTATTAAGTTCAGGTCAATGTTAAAAAGTTTATTTACGCTTGAAAGATACTTGGTAATCTTCTGATTCTAGAACTAGAATTTATGATCAAGAATTTTTTTCAGTTTCTTGATTCAAATTTATGGATGCTCCTTGATAGATGTCATGACCAATTCAAAACTCTTTTCATCTTACCTTCAATAATTTTGCACACATCTTTCGCAGTGGTGCATGAAACATCATTATGTAACTGATAAACCATTCAATCTTAGCAGTGTTCATGTGCAGTGTGTACAGGTTTCGCATGTCTTGATTTATATTACTACACTTTGTCAGTTGATGAAAACGGCAAAAACCTCAACTAGAAAACCAGATATGTAAACAGCATTCAGTGTGTAGGGATTACATGTCATAATATACTGACACTAAGCTGTTTTCTGGTGCATGCTACAATGCATTGTACCTGTATCTCTTTCATAAACCATAGAAGTTAAAGAAATTGAAAACTTTAACAAACATGTTCAAATGTGCATTAATATAGCTTCCCAAATGAATATGTTTTGTGTGTATGTGGGGGGGGGTGCATGCGCGCACATGTTGTGTGCATGCATGCGCATGCATGTTCATGTGTACATGGGTGTTTCATTTTGAATGTTTGAAAACCCCTAAAAGTGTTCCTCATTCCACATATAGGTACCAGCATCCTTATTTTCAATCAGGACTTTTCTGTTAACTACATTTATTTGGCCACTGCAGTATGAAGCAGATGGCTCTTATGCCATAAGATTATAAATGTACAAAACAATTCAACTTCTAGATTTTCTTGCAGCTCTTACCTTATATACCATAATGCCAAATGGCCATGACTGCATGTGAAGTTTTCTTCCCAGTTTGCCAATGACTTTGAACTCTGTTGCCAATTGACAGACGTCTGTTTATGACAATATAAGATGCTTTGTTGAGTGCTAGTCTTCCTGCTGCTGACATAGTCCATGGGTAATCTCAGCCCCTCCCCCCTACAGCTGTTGGCTGGCCTTGGTGCTATAAATACAGATCCTCCAACTCAGCAATGCTGTATTGGAAATAGAATCATACATATGCAGTGGGACAATTAACAGGTGTAGAGGTGAATGATCCACATGGCTTAAAAACTATAATGGTAACAACTGGCTTTCTTGTATTTTTCTCTCTGTGACAAAGATAGAGCATGCTAAGGTTATAGAAGAAAGGAGAACTGTCCACTTATAGTTTTAACTAAAATAAAGAAGACTGTATATTCCCTTCATAAATCATACATTTTAGTAGAAAATATTCCTGAACATCTTATCCAGACCGAACTAAACTTTTATGACAAAGGTTCATAACATCCTATAATACATTTGGTACTCAAAGTTTCTAAATAGTTTATACTTCATGTACATTATTAGGATATAGAAAGCCTTGTGATCATAGGAAGACAACAGAGAGAAATGAATGTTTTCTATATCTGCATCATCAAAAAGTGCTTTCCAATATGCCACTTCTGTTCTTACATAAACAGGTCTGCAGAATTTTATGTTAGATATTTAACATGAATAAACTTTAATATATTAGAGACTTGTATATTTCTATCAGCTAGTGAATGAACATGGGGTAGCCACTTTAGGCAAATTGAAGTACATATAGTGAACCATTAGTAACTGAGCCTAGTTTGAGATTGTTATTGAGATGGTCATCAAATTCCAATATTTGATTCAGCATAAGACAAAATATTGTGTTCTAAGATTTACTAGCCTGTCTCTTCTATTTAGAATAAGGAGGAATTGCCGCAACAATGCAATGCACAGTGATGTAACATTTCTCTTTAGTGTTCGGTTCCTTAGTTGATGTGCACAGATTTGTATGCACAGAATTGAAATGCCAACGGAATGTATCACCAATCCGCTGCAGCGGGAACTGGCAGACAGCATTATCCGCATGGTCCCACTTGATGAGATCCGCATACTGCTGGCGTGTGGGGCCAAGGTCAATGAGCCTGTCACACAGGGTCTTCGACCCTTGCATTATGCTGTCTGGCAGCGCTATTTGGAGGCTGCTCAGTTGCTGTTGGTTAGAGGGAGTGACATTAATGCCAGGGATGAATGTGGTTATTCAGCCCTGCACCTCTCAGCTGAACATGGGTGAGTACATGATGGACACAAGGCTTTGTATCAAACTTAAAATTTTGTAAAAGTAAAACTCTATCTCTGACAGAATAAAGGTGGTCTTCTGCTTCTTCAATTTTGAGACAGTGAAAGAGAAAAAGAGAAAAGAAATATAGATATAGATAATGTCTCAAGAAAATTACTAAGGAAAATGCAGCCTTCATTAAGTAATCTTATGTGATTAAGAAAACTGAAGTTGGGAAGCAATTGAAATAAAATTTTCCACAGGAATTAGTATAAATAAATATATTCTGTCGAAGTTACTCTCCACTAACACTGCATATTTTTGTAAATTGTTTTTATTTAACAGTTTGAATTTGAAACTAATATACTAATATCAGATAAAGTGTTAAAGGTAAAATTATTACTGGGTTTAAGCACTGTGGCATGAAGATGTACATATGTAAACGTGCAACATCCTGCAGTTTTAACCCCAGTGCTAGTTAAAAGTGAGGTGGTCATCTTCATTCTGCATCCTCATTTAATAAATAAATAGGATGCTGTTTGGCCATCAGGGTCAGTCTGGACATGGTGATAAAGAGAAAAATGCTAACACCTTTGCAGGGATAACAGACAGCAATGTATCACTTTATGTACCTTAGTATCATGGCTCCTAACATACAAAATTATATAGAAATCAAGTTCTCGGATGTACATACAGGTCCAAAAGGACTGGATGGCATTGAAATTTCTTTGTTACTTATGTATTGTATATACAACAATTTAGCAGTGCTGTGAAATTCTATGAAAAACGTCATAATTGTAATAAACTGCAATAGAAATGTGAGCAGTTTAACCAACTATATGCAGAGAAGAGCAGTGTTAGTTTAAAGTTGCCTGTATTGGACCTAAGAAATATGAGTTGATTGGGGAATTTAGAAACACATGTATAAAATTGAGAACATCCTGATCTGAATTCCTTGACAACTGCTATTTATTACATATATAAAACATGTTAAAACAAAAGAAACTGCAAACTAGCAGTTACATTTAACATTATAGTGGGGAACGTAATCATAATTGTGTAAGTGGGCATGTCATAAAACAGCATTATAATATATTTTATCTTGGAGAAATAAATGATTCTGATAATTTTATCTAGTTCAGGAATTATCCTGAAAGTTATTAAATTGTGTTGAGGTTCAGTATAATTAGATTACTTTACAACAGTCATGGTGCATAATCAAGTACTATTCCCCTCCAAATGAAAGTCTTATGAATGTGCTGACTGTATTTTATTCTTGTAACTTACCACTTAATCAAGGACTTCAGAATAATAATAACGAATCAAAACGATTTTTTTTTATTTTCCCATGTCCTATCTAGAAATGTAAACATTGGAATGACTGAACCATAATTTTACCACTTGCTTTATGTAGATGTGAAGTTTGGTATCACTCTAATGGAAGGACATAGATTAAAATGTTTGAAAGCAGGGTGCTGAGGAGAGCATTTGAGTCAATGAAAATGGAAGTAACATTATTATGGAAAAAATCACATATTGTTGGGCTTCACAATTTTTTCTCTTTGTCTTATATTGTTTTGGTAATTAAATGAAGAATGACATGGGCTTGACATATTATAGCATGGTCTGTGGACTTGAGAAATACATACCAAAGTTTGATTGGAAAACCTCAAAGCTAATATTAAAGTAAATTATAGAAAAATGAGATTGAAGGTGTGGATGTAAATTAGTGGATCAGGAAAGGGCCCAGTTGTGGATATGTGTGGACAAGGTAATGAATCTTCAGTTCTGAAACAGGGAATTTCCTTAAAAGTTGAGTGACAGTAAACATTAAAAGAAGACCTCATATGGTGGAATTGGGTCAAATTATATCACACACTTAGCATTATTCTGAAAGTAGTTACATTCTAGCCAAGATTAGTTCCTGACTCACGTAAGCCTGTGGTTTATTATGCAAAGCCAAACCATTCTACCTCCCCTTCTTTCTTGAATAATTTCCACATCATTTAATTTCATTGCACAATCACTTATATTCAACCTTGCTCAACCATACGTTTTCATCAGACGTCTCTTGCTTCTTCCGCCTATTAAAAATGTATAAATATATTAATGAGCTCTCATGAACATAACAATCAATCTTTTGATGCCATAAAATGCAAGGAATTTCTTGACTAGCTCAGTAACTATTAGGTTCTCAAGAATAACTCTTCTCCATGGAGTTAGTTGAATATAATGAAATATTTATGAATGAAATTTATATAAATAATTTATTATAACCAAACTTTATGCATCATTACTAACCCTGTGCACCACCTGGATCAGTTTAGGGTTCAGTCATTGATTTCTGTGAATACATGAATGGACCTTTATGGTCCTTAAAATCAAAGAATTTCTTACTCAACTGAATGACTAGCAGCTACTCAAGATCTTATATTATAGAATTAGTCCTTATCATATTTCTTTAACCTAAGTAAAATTTCTCACATCCATCCCAAGGAAATGCCCTAAGATTTGTATGCATGTGTAACTAATCTTTGCACAAAAATTTTAAAATAAATGCATAATGGGGAGAATATGTTATGTCCACACTTCTGTCTATCTTCATGAATAGATTATTACATTTGGTATTCACAGTCTACACCACAAGTTTTAGTCAGAATTTGATTTTGGTTTATGTCGATCAAATATAATCTATGTAACATGATGCCAATATCAGAAAAATATTCTAAAAATGGCAATTACAAAAAAATAATAGCACATGGCATAATTTAGAGATCTTATTAGAATATTCATTTTTTCTATGATATATGATGGAGAAACTGTGAATTCATGAACAATAAATGCCATATGTTTCTCTGCCTTGGAAATTCTAGCATTTACATCTTCCACAACAGTCCAACAATAGAACAAAAAAACTAAATAATAAGCTCATTATTTTATGTTTTTCGCAGTTTGGAAAACTACTATTATCCATAAAAATTCATCTATTCCTGTCATCCTTACCTGAAATGTTCAATGAAATACAAGAGAAATGTAATGTATTCTTGATTAGCTTTGTGAATGATAGATTTAAATGTTGCTCTTTATGGTTATTGTTCATATCTGCCACAAGAGTTCATCACAAGCTGTATAAGGAGTGACATTTTTGTTTTACTTCAGTGAACTAATATCAAAATCACTGAAAATTAACAAAACTGCAATTTCATTGAAGAATTCATTACACACTTGTCAATCTGACTACACTAAGAATAGTAGGTAAAGACCACAAATTGTGGCTTTATCTCTCTTGAATCAAAATAAATAATTATTACAATATGCTTAGATGTTCTCAGTCTGTTCCATATAGTACCTAAGACAGGCTAAAAAGGACTAATACCATGTATTCCCAAAATATTGATTTTATTTTTTTTCATTTTATGCATGAAACAATTTTTCTACAGGTACACAGAGTTGGTGAAACTGCTGCTTCATCAGGGAGCACAAGTGGATTATCGGGAAGATACTGATGATCCATTCCCTCGCACCACCATATGCGACGAGCCCTTGCGGCTGGCAATTCGAAACCGCCATGCAGATATTGCACGCATGCTACTGGAGCATGGGGCAGACCCCAACAAACGCTACTTTTTTGGTTCTGAGATAAATCTTGTGTCTCCACTCGATCTTGAATTTATGCGTCTTTTGCTGACATTTGGTGCCCATCCAGATACTCGAGATAGGGCAGGTCTCACACCACTCATGAAGGCAGCAAGGCTTCCACAGGTAAATCTATGCAACAGCTGAACTGATTTGACCTAGCTCTCCTTTTCTGTTCATGACATATGATCTCTTAATAAATAACCCATTTGTTGATAAAGCATCTTTAAACAGTCTCTGAAGAAACAAAAAAAAATCAGATGGGATATTTTCAAATAACCAAGAACGTTATTTTCAGGGGATGGATTCTGTGCTGCTGTTGCTCTCTTTTGGAGCAGATGTGAATGCCATGACAGATTCCCGCCATGATTATCGCACTGTGCTGCACTATGCTGTTTTATCAGGCAATTTGGCAACCGTCAATCTCCTAATAAAGCAGGGTGCCAGGGTGAACTATCCACCTGACTACCAGAAGCCAACACCACTTGACCTTGCCATACTTAAGGGTGATATAGATCTTGTGAAACTGCTGCTTGCAGCAGGTAAGGGCCTCTGTTTGCAATGTGGTATTTGTAGGTGTTATGTTATTGTGTATATATATATTGTCTTTCTCCCCATAACTTTTGAGCCTGTTTGCTGGTATTTATAGTACTTGTTATGAACATCATATTACTGGAGTCCATCCTTCTTCACTCACTCATGGAGCTGAGCCCTTCTTGAGAAGCCGCCAATTGCGCAGCTACTCAAGAGCTTCCCAGCATTTTATGGAACCCGAGGGTTCATTACCGTGTTCACAACCGCCCTCCACTGGTCCCTATCCTGAGTCAGATCAATCCAATCCATCCCATCCCATCTCCTCTCTCTAAGATCCTTATTAATATTGTCCATCCACCTACACCTTGGTCTTCCCAGTGGCTCTTTCCTTCTGGCTTTCCCACCAATATCCTATATGCATTTCTCTTCTCTCACATTCATGCTACATGCCATGCCAACCTCATCCTCCTTGACTTCATTCTAATTATACTTGGAGAATATTACAAGTTATAAAGCTCTTCAGTATGCTGTTCCATTTTTCTTGGTATTTAATATCAACGATACTATACTGTTTGTTGATACTATACTGCATGGGTTATATAGTGACTGTGAGTGGTGAATTGAAAAGGAAAAAAGAATAAGCACAGATAGTCTATTTTAAGATGATATTCTGCCATTTCCATTGAGGGATGGAGGAAAATCATGAAGTCCTCAATCAGGATACCTAGTCTCTGAGCCAAGATTTAAACAGAAAAAATACCATTAAACACTACACACCATTAGATCATTCAGTTCTACTTCAGTTTTATACTCATTTAATTTAATAGAGTCATTAATTCTGAAATGGTCATATGAATTTCTAGGAGCCATTTAATGCCATGGAATATGATTTAACTAACTCATTTTTGTAGCTTTCAGAACTGTGATTAAAGCTTTCATTCTGCTTTCTTTCATATCAACATAACCTGAGCTTTTTCAGGTGGTATAAACTGCAGATACCTGAAAGACGTCAAATGTCAACTCAAAGGTTAATACTGTTGGCCTTTGATATAAAAATATGTTCAACATATTTTGCATAATCTGTGACAAAGCTGCTTAGTGCTACATTGGAAACTTTTCAATTCGTTTTAGTTTTGTATACTTAATGACAGTAATTAAGAAGTATGAAGATGTGATTTCCTTCAATAGAATGTTCATCATGCTAAGTTTCACAGCAATTGGCCTTTGTTTGAAAATTGTTATGACAGTAATCCATGTGGAATGACAGATGTACATGCGTACATACAATATGATATTTTCAAGTCTCTCTTTCATAATAGAATAAGGAAGGGTTAAAAACTCTTCAGGCAAAATCAAATTTTCTTTCATGTGTTAGTTGTATCTTGCATGTTATTATATAGACAAAAGTGACTAGGCTGTTCAAATCAAAAAATGACAAGAACTGTGTATGAAGAGTACAGCTGTTAGCTGCAGCCAGAAATATATTTTGCAGGAGCAAATGTCAACTCAAGCTCCCCAATAATTGGATCACCATTGCATGTGGTATGTGCTGACAACATCCCTAATCGGCTTGAGTTGTTGCACTTATTGCTGTCTGCCGGTGCTGACCCCAATATGGTAGTGGAGAGTGATGAGGGTCCTCCACTGCGGCCTGTGCTTGCAGAGTATATAGAATCAAATGAAGAGCCGTGTCCTGCCATTGTTCACTTGCTTCTGCGTTTTGGGGCAAAGGTAATTGGTAGTTGATTATTGATTTTGTGACTCATGCTGGAGGTTTAATTCTCAGCACCTTGCTACCCAGTGCATACAGCCACTTGAGCAAAAAGCAGTAAATTATCAGAAACTTGTACAGTAAAACACACTTACATACTTTTACAAATACTAAAATTTACAAGTGCAGAACAGTATTGGCACACATTTTCTTGTACAGTCAGTCTGGGAAGAAAAATAAAATTATAACTAGTATCTACTGGCTGGAAGGTTGGGTGGACCTCACCTTGTCTGGACATGGAACCCTGTCCCTGCAGGAAATAAAAAACCCAAGTTGTCCAATCCATAGTCACATTATGATTGAGCTATTCCATCAGTATTTTATTAGTCAATCTTCCCAGTTATGTTTATGTACTATATATTAATTATTGTTTCTGTCATAACTCACATTCACTGCTTCTAAATAATCTTAATAATTGATACAGCATTACTGAGAAATCAATACAAAACTGCTTGGAAACATGTAATTTATCTCGATCTTATCCTACAGGTTGTCATGAAGACGCAGTTCCGTGATCCACATGGGATACTCAATTCATTGCAGAATTTGTCTAATTATCCCTCGCTGTTTACAACACTGGTAGAAGCAGCTGAAAGCTTTGACTTATGCATGATTAGACGCTCTTCGTTACTGAATGAGGAACAAAAGCAGTTGTTAGTAGAGTCTTCAACACAGCCTCTGTCACTTCGCCATCAGGTGAGGCTGTTCCTACGTAGACAACTTGGCAAGAAATTGCCACATATGGTAGACCAACTACCTCTGCCTACTATCCTCCATCGATACCTCATGTATGAGTTCAGCTGAAATATTGCAAGATACAATCATTGACTGATCACAGAAAAGAAACTTTCATATTACTGATTAATATCAGTATCAATTATAATAATTTTTATTAGAATGTAGAGAACATGAAGTATTTTTATACCTTTATAACTTAAGAAACAGTTGTTTAATGGTATTTGGAATGATGATTCTAATGTAAAAAGTAACAGTGTCAGAAGCTTGATACTTTTAATTTCATATTTTGCAATAAGTATTATTCTTATACCCCTTCCAAACACAAGTATTATTTTAACTTTGTACTTCAAATAAAATTGAAACATATTACTGAATTTGGAGTCTTAATTTTTAATGCATATTAAGAATAAATTCCTTTTATTTTCAGACATTATCTCACCTTCTGTTTCCATTCCAATCCCTGTTCCATTTGAACCCAATCATTTATTTCCAAATCCACAATGTCTTAATAAGTGATACACATTCTCCTCTTCCTTCCTCCTTGCACTACAGCTCAGTTCAAGCCTTGATCTCCTCAGCCACAGCCATCCAAACATTCCTCTTCAGCATTTCATGCTTCCAGTTAATGGTCTTTTTTTCACTTATCTTTCATCCAATTAATACCATATTACCAGAAGTTGCTATAAACTGGAGCTCCACTGTAGTGCAATGTATGAGTATAATGATATTGATCTGCCTTGGGCCCACTTGATGCTTTTGAAATTACCTTATTATAATAATACTTGTATTTTCCCAAAACTCAGGCTCTTGGACTGAAGTATGATGAAATCAAAACATGGTTTGAAGGAAATGAGCAAGAATCTGTAACAAAACAGATTTAAGTACTTGCCTTTTCATACTGATATGACCACCATAATTTAATCTTATTGAGTTACTTGAAACTCCATGCAGCACTGCTACTTATAGCCAGACAGTTATAAATTTAATAACATTACTGAAAATCTGCAATATTCTTAATTATGCACAGGATAGTGGCATTGAAGCATTTTGAGCATATAGTATGATGGTTTTCCTGAACAACTTATTTTTTTAGAAATACATGTCTGTTTTCATACTGTGTGGCAAATCAGCCTTGAATTTAAACTCCATTCTCTTGGGGGGTGATTGCTAACATTGCGACAAACAAGTCGACAATCAGACAGCCAGGCTATTTGGTGAGGAAGACTCTGTACATTCAAAGAAAAATGCGACAGACTGTAGTCTGTTAAAAAATATGTTAAATTGGTTCTCAGAGCAATTGGTATGAACTCCCGTTTTCTTCTTCTTCTTCTTCTTCTTCTTCTTCTTCTTCTATATTTTCATAAGAATAATTTTATGTGTACTTTTATAATGCTGCTGCATAGATGAAGCACTAAACACTGAACTGTCAGTACAGAGAATGTACAACTCTTTTCCATTTCTGTCAATCACACCCCATCATACTTCCCAACTATTCTGAAAATCTCTGCCACTCCATTCATTTATGGTCTCATTTCCATAAAAAAATATTTGTATAACTCTGAAATAACATAAAAGAATTCACCCAAGAAAGAACACAACATGATGTGAATGATGGAAACAGCAAACATTGGAACATCTGCAGCAATAGAAAGTGAGGAGAAGCATCATTCCTCTCTTTGAATTTGCGGTGCAACTGCGCAATTTTTGCCACGTAGGCCTAAATGTTGTGTGAGTGTTTCTGTCTGTGGTTTACATCCAAGGCTATTTGATCTACATAAGTGTCTTTTACTTGCTTTTGTACAAACACGAACTCGCATTTCATTAATAATTTTATTACGTTTTTGGCAAAATATTCATTTGACACAAAATTTTGTACTTCCAGCTATTGTATTTTTTTTTTCGTTATGTTATTTGCAGTGCTTGAGGTGGAATGAAAATATAACCGGGATGCTTTTCCCCTTTTAATTCACAGACATAAATTATGAAAATATACCAAGTGATGTATATAGTCTGTGTTCCATCTAAGACCTATGAACATATTACAGTAGTTTAAATGGCATGCGTTAAAATAAAGTCACACATGCATTACGAGTACTTATCTTTAGAATATTTTCCAGATGTTTTCATTGCTTTCTGAAGTCACTGATCTTCTATCTGCTGGGGCTGCGCAAGACTGGTAATCTGCATGTCGACGTCCTTTCTTTAGCCATTGTTTTACATAATATTCTGCATCGAAAGCACTAAGAGGGGGCCCCACTGATGAAATAAACATTAAACTAGATGCTGATTTTAAAAGCATCGAGCTTCAGATGGTTGAAATAATGTTGTTCATGTTGCTGAATGCACGCTTACGCTCTGCATTTGAAATAATAATAGTATTTGCAGCTGCAATCAACGGCATTAGTTCATCAGGATACATGTCATCACCATTCATTATATTCATGTAATATTCAAGGAATCCATGAACTGAAGTTTTCTTACACACCATAAATGACTCAGCGAGTTCCCTAATCTCTTTATCAGTAAAACATGGCTCTTGACATTTTACCCACTTAGCCTTATCCATTATTTTCAAGTTGTCCAGTAACTGACTGTATTTGTCCCTGTTTGACCATGTTGTGTTACTACTTCCAGTCGATTCGTGTGACGCTCTAGTGGTGAACATTCGGATGTTTTTATTGTCACTTAATTTCTGAAAGAATTGTTGTTTACTAATCTTCTGGACTTTTCCATGTTCTAAGCTAACTCCTTTAAATTCTAATTTATCAGCAGCCGTTAGAACTTCAGAATAATATTCACCTGGATTATTTGCCATGGACTGAAAGACGTGATACTTAACAAGAACTAAATGATGTGCTTCAGGCAATGTGATTTTCTTTTCTTGTAATTTTAAAGACAGGTGTTCAAGTTCTGTTAAAGCATCGAACAGAAGTCCCATATTTAGAACAAAGTTTACGTCGCTTAGTTTTCTTTTCAATCCAGAATATTGAGCTCTCTCCCTTCCTGTGCGTTTTGGGTCTACAGACGCATTGTGAAAATGCTTATAAAGAGCAGGGTAATTATTCCATATGGCTCTCACAGACCGCGCACTAGACGATACCCAACGTGTCGTTCCTAACACTCGTCCTATGGTATGTAATCTCATATTCAGTTGCGCAGCAACAGTTTCTAATTCTGATTTGTTCTTTGGAGACGCGCTGTAAACGGAATAGAGTTTATCAAAAAATGATTGAATGTGGCACACTGTTGACATTTCCCGTACTGTATCACTCACCGCTATTTCTAATCGATGATTACTACAATGCCAAACAATCAATTGAGGATACATTTCGAGCAAAAGTTGTGCAACACCTGCATGCCTTCCAAGGAAATTAAGAGGCCCCATCACAAGCAAATAAAATTCAATTTCGTGATAAAAAGTCACTGTGAAATCCGTTACTCTTGATATTGTTGAGAAAGGCGTCCCTGATCATTGCAGCTGTAGTATTTTCTAAATCCACTATATCAAAAAAGATAACTACTCGCATCCATGGAATCAGGCAGTTTGCAACGTAAACAGATTACAAGAGCTTCTTTTTTACTTCGAGTAGAAGTCTCATCGATCATGAAACCTATCATAAGATCATTATTAATAATATATTTAACAAGTTTCTTTCTCATTTCATCTGCTATATGATCACAAATATCAGTGCACGCATGATTAGACCGCAAGATACGCCCCCTAGCTAAACCATTTAGTTCTTGTAAATCAGTCAAAGCTGCTAAATCTGTCATGGGATGGTTCACTTTCGCTATTTGATAAGCTGTCCTAAATATGCGACAAGTTGTAACGTATTGTTTTTCTTGTGTTTTAACATTCAGACATTCAATTGTTTCTTTTTTAGCAAGGCATAAAATGTCACTAGCTTTAACATGAGCTGCCGATAGTTTATGACAAGACAGTTTCTTCCTAAT